GTACAGGATTTCATTTTGAAATCCAAGCAGGGAATAGAGGTAACAGTTTTGTTTTGTTTTTTAAAAAGGAAAATATTCTGGGTTTTGTGCTATGTTTTGTGGTAAATCTATCCTTCAAGCAATGCAAATATTAGCACAATACATATGTCGGTGTATGTATGCACAAGTGCAGTGACGTGCAGCTACTAAGGTAGCTGAGTAAGGTTTTTTTCATGCATAACAGAATAAAAAGTTGTGCAAAGTTGTCAAGGGTCTAATTATCCTATTGATGTGAAGAGAAATTTGGCACTTGACCCCTGCCACGGCTAACAGAATTTTGGTACATAAACTCCACATGCAGGCAGGAGCTTTTTAGACATCCAGCATGCAAGCTTTTACTCTCTGTTGTTTGGTTCAAAATATCCTGAACATTCATATCTCCTGTATCCAGGCACTATATGCCCCTATGTCTGCTCTGTATTCAGATGTACAGCTGGCTGCCTGCATTTGTTTATAATACGGAGACTCATAATTATGCAAAAAATAAGAATTTGTGGCCAAGCAACACTTGACGATATAACTGCAGAAGGTGGTAATTAGTTCTGCAGGGACACCTGAGGACTAATTAGGAAGAAGAGTATGGATGTTGGTTTTTTAAAGAAACCTTTTCTTTAAGAGTCTGGACAAGAAACCAGAAATACAAAATCAGATGAAGCCTCAGATTAATTGGACAGCCCAGGAGTCCTGAGAATAATATATCTAGTTGCTGCCCATAACTGAACTGCTAGATCTTCAAATAAAAAGCACCCTGTACCTCTCCACTGTCCTGAATTAGATAGTAGTGAGTCATGAATATCTTTGGAGTCCGGTGACACCTTAAAGACTAACAGAGAAGTGGCTTTTACTCACAAAAGCTTATGCCCTAATAAATCTGTTAGTCTTTAAGGTGCCACCGGACTCCTCATTGTTTTTGTGGATACAGACTAACTCGGCTACTCCTCTGATACTTGAATATCTTTGTTCCTTCTTAAGCAATGACTTAGAAAAGTGGACCCCACCAAATATGCTCTCCTTTCTGGGCATACAAACTAGTAACAGAGAAAGCTGGCATGACTCAGAAAATTCAGCTGAAACCAGGCCCCTGAACAGGAGAGAGACTCAGTGCCCTGGCCTAACTGCAATGGAAATATTGACTGGAGCAAAGCCCCAGGGTTTGCCAGAGGAAATGAAGAGGAACTTTTCAAGCAACAGACAGCATGAGTTCAGAGTGAGGGCTCTGGTAAAGTTCACTTAAAGTGCAACTGATGGAAGACAACAAATGGAATGACTCTGTCTTGTATAGGATAGAATGAGAATAGTGTCTCACTGGAGTCCCAATTAGCATACTAGATAGCTGGAGTAACCAAAAATTTAAGTCTGGGTTATTTCTAAAGGCCTGACGATTATTAAGGAGAGTAAGGTTTGCAGGACTGGATCCTGAAATGGGTTATTGAACGAAACCTCCATTAATGCTGGGGATTGACTTGCACTGTTATTCATGACTCAACACTGGGGCCTGGAAGCCTTTCACTCAAACGCTGATTTTGGAAAGCATTCTGTGTGTAATTGTGGGAGGTGCCATAGACACAGGCTCACATAATCCCAGAAGGCTATTTTGGTTTGGCAATTCCATGGTCATTTAAACCTACTACAGCAGAGAGTAAACTTTGTATGCATGCCTGTAACATCCATCTAGAGAAGCAAAGAGTCTGATTTCTTTTTTTCAAAAATGTGTGCGCCATGATTGCATGTGCAAAAAAGCATAGGCCACTGAAAAAATTATTTGCACATGCAGTTTGAGTATTTGTGTGGGCAAATGGCCAATTAAATAAGCAGTCTGATACCACAGCGACGGGTACAATATAAAAAACCCAGAGGCTATAGGGCAGGACCTATATTTAATTGACCACACAACTCTCCAATAGCCAGGGACAACTTCAGTCATCATGCACACCAGGAATCTGTATATTTGAAAATCCCACTCAAATGACCTCGACCTTTGTCAGTTGCCCTTTCCTGTGGGTGGTGATGGGTATAAATGAAACCGTCACTTTCAGAACATACATGTAATAAGTTTATATGTTTACTGTAAGTGTTTGATGCCTTTCCTTGAAGTCTGGTGTCAAGTCCAGGCTTTAGCCAATGCCTACTAGAAGGCTTAATTTATTTATATACAGTAGTTTTAGAAGATGCCAGCCTCCTCTGGTGTCTGGTTGATTGATATGTATCAGCTCCGAAATGCACTTCACTCCGGCAATAGGCATCAGATACCTCAGTGCAGGATATAAACTGCAAGCAGACAGCTAAGCATTCAAAATGCTCTGTGTGGCACACTCACTTAAGAAACTGCCAACCCATCTACTGCCTATTCATGATATTTTTCACATATACTTATCCATATGCTGTGATAAAATGTAATTAGGTTTAAATAATGAGTAGCTTAAGTACAGTCATCCTGCAGTCCTTAGGCAGAGCTCCCAGTGAAGCCAATGTGTGGTTTGTCTCAGAACAGCCGAATTTGAGAGACACCCAAGTTGCTCCATCACCACTCAGAGTAGCCTTTTTGTGAAAATCTATCCTCTGGCTATAAGATTCTGGCAGAAGACTGCAATATTTTTAAGTTTTGGGGGGTGGGGGAGAATTTCAAACATGCCTCGGTGATTTAGGAGTTTACGTCCCGTTTTTGAAAGTGACGTGCATGTAGGAGCATAAATCTCATCAAACGTTAGTGGCAGTTAGGCTCCTATGTCACCTGGGTGCATTTGAAAATTTTACTTTAGAGTTTTTAAATGTTTGATCTAAATATAAGCCATCTGTGACGCTCCTCCATTCTCCAGTGCTGCAGTTTACTTTAAAAGGGTGAAACAGATTACCAGTGGGATGTCTGTCAGTCTTGACAATATCTATTTAAAACACTGGACATATAAATCATCCCCCCCCTCCCCAAAAATACTTACAGTGTAAAGCACGTCTGCGCAAAAATACTGCACATTAAAAACATCTTCTTTACAAAAGTAACAAACAGGTGCTGTATAAAAAGACAACTTATTTCATCATTCTTTACATTTCAGATTTTGGACTCTCTATATAAAGCTTCTGAACAAGATGGTAAGAAAAATATGTTGCTAATAACAGGAAAACACCCAACAATTTCGTAATCCAGTTTGGGAATTACACTTGAGTACTGATCTGACAAGAGTGTGTTTGCAGGTGTAGATGGCTTACAAGTATTGGAATTAGGTGTGGGTGTTATTTATTGTCTTAGCTGAGTTGTCACTACTTTTTGCATCGTTTTATGCCATAGCTTATTTACAAAACCTGTACTTCTAATTTCAGATTTGAGATCAAATTTACTCACTGGAATTTCATTTCTTGACAGAACAGATGCAAGTTACTAGGTCTGAGCATTTATTACACAACATAGTGAAAGAAAGAAAAATCCTCTTTTAGAAGCAACATATAATTTCTCACTATAACCTCACCTGCAACCCTTTTGTTGTATCGTGTCTGAATTAGAATGCAAGCTCATTGATGCAGGGACCCTTTTAAAGGTCTGTTAAGTACCACCCACACCGACTGTACACTGCTGTAGAATCAATTCTAAATAACAATGTGAACAGACTGCAGTGTAAACATACAGATAAAAGTTCAGAATCATAGGCGCTGACTCTGTGGGTGCTCTAGCCCTGAAGCACTTACAGAAAAAAATTAGCGGGTGCTTAGCACCCACTGGCAGCCTCTCTCCCCAGTGCCTCCTGCCCGGCAGCTGCCCTGCTGATCAACTCCTCCCCCTCCCTCCCAGTGCCTCCTGGACACCGCAGAACAGCTGTTCTGCAGCATGCAGAGGGCGCTGGGAGGGAGGGGGAAGAGCGGGGATGGGGTGTGCTCGGGGGAGGGGGTGGGAAGAGGTGGGGGGAGCTTGGAGGAAGGGGTGGAGTGGGGGCTGGCCTGTGGTATGGGGGGGGTTAAGCACCCCCCCGGGTAGAGAGGAAAGTGGTGCCTATGTTCAGAATTATAAAAGCTTAAAACTCCCCAAATCCCGAGTTCTTTAGGTTTTGGATGTTTTTCCAAAAGATCTGCTCTAGAAATTATTTTGGGGGAGTTCTCTAGTCTGTGTCATACAGGAGATCGGAGGAGGTGATCACAATGGTCCCTTTTGGCCTTGGAATTTGAATATTTTCTTCAGTGAAATAATAATCTCTCTATTTGAGACCTTCCTGCTTTATTTCTTAAACATCTTTCTTTTTCACTTGATTCTCTTTCTTCCTTTCTGCTCGCTTTCCTACTATCTTCCCAGTTGTATGGCACCACTCCATGGTGCTATGCAGTGAAGTGTTGCCATCTAGATGGTTTCCTAGTAAGTTATCCATTATTTAGCTCCAAAGCTCTCTTTTAATGACTTGTTCTCATGGGACAACTCTATGTGTTGGCCTCATTCCACTGTCCCAAATGTCAGCATAACAACACCCAGCTTCTGTATCTCTCTGTAGACCTCAAAGCATTTTACAAAGGAGGGCAATAAAATATCTCATTTTACAGATGGGGAAACCGAGGCACAAAGCCACGACATGACCAAGCAGCAGAGCCAGGACTTGTCCCAGGCCTCTCGAGCCCCAGGACAGTGTCCAATTCACCCTGCCTCCCACATATAGGTGATAAAACCAAGCAACCTCCCCAAATCTCAGAGTCTGTACCCCACACCTATCCATAGCCTGTCGTCTTCCCATTTTTTTTCTATGACATCATCACTTGCTGTATATGTCTAATTCAATTTAAAGGAGCTGGTTGACTGTTACATGCTACAAACACCTATGTGTTATATGAATCATATACAGCAATGGGCCTCCGTAGGTATGTCTACACTACATTAAACCGCCCCACCCCCAGCCTGGGTCAGCTGACTCAGGGTCACAGGGCTCAGGCTGTGGGGCTATAAAATTGCAGTGTAGACGCTCAGGCTTGGGATAAGAGACCCTCCCTCTTGCAGGATCTCAGCGGCAGAGGTCCAGCCCGAATGTCTACACTTGTAATTTTGTAGTCTCGCAGCTCAAGCCCCGGGACCGTGAGTCATCTGACCCGGGCTAGCTGCAGCCACACCGCAGGTTTTTACTGCAGTGTAGACGTACCTTGCGAGGTCACATAACTCCCTGGAAAAAAGTTGAAAAGGGCCTAGAATTTTAAAGAAAACTGTGAGTAGGGAGTCGGCCACCAGAATACCATGCCACAGATGTAAGGTCAAATTTTCAAAACCGATCCATAAGTGACTTAGGAGCCTATGGCTTTGTCTAACAGACCAATATGGTACCGTTTTAACTATCCTCCGGTAGGTAAAGCAGTACAACCCCCTTGTAGGGACACAGTTATACCAGTATCAATGTGCTTCTGTATAGGAAGGGGAATAAGTGATACCAGTGTACTCCGTTATCCCAGTCCAACTGCGTCTACGCTAACACTTGCAGTAACAAATCACACCCATCTGCGACATAGTTATACTGGTGCAAAAACCATGTGTGGATGAGGCCTAGATCCCATTTCCAAACATGATTTAGGCCCAGTCCCCCAGATCTGCCAATGCATTTAGGCACCGAAAACCCACAGATTTAAATGGGAGTTAGGCGCCTAAATGCCTTTGAGGATCTGTGCCTGAGGCACTTAGTAGCCTACGGGTACATTTAAACGGAAACAATAACCCGCAGCGGCATGTCTCAGAGTCAGGGTCTAGAGTTTTGGGCTTGCACTCGGGTGCTTGAAATAGCTGGGCATGGGCTGGAGCTCAGGCTCTGAAACCCACCCCCCTCCTCAGGCTTCGGAGCCCGAGCTCCAGCTCCAGTCTGAACGTCAACATGGCTATTTCTAGTGCTGTAGCGTGAGCGCTGTGAGCCTGTAGATCCGGCCCCTCAACTCACTGCTCCGGAGGGTGAGGGGAAGAGGGGTGGCCGTGTAGACATAGTCTAAGTCTCTAACCCCTCATTAGGTTGTATTAGAAGGTCCACCAATAATTGGCAGATATGTTTACCACATATTCACCGAGCCCTTGCTGAACAGTTATATCGTCTGAGTATGCAATCTAGCCTGCAATATACTGTCCCACTGCAGTACACAAGACCATTGATCTTTATTGCTGAACATTCACCACGGCTAGTGATTTGATTCACCGTGCTTTAGGGGTCTCCGAGCTGTTGGGTGTTTTGTCTTTGCATCTGTTCTATCAACAAAATATTCTTTGATTAAAAGGGCTCACTAGTTTTTCTTCTAGAACTAATGCGGACTGTTTCATCTATTATTAAATGCCCTACGATAGTCCGCTGGACGACTTGTGCTTGATTGTGAAACATTCTGAACCGCATGGAAGATTAAAACAATCTGGAAATTAGAGCTCTCATTTGATACTTGCATCAAAAAATAAATGTCAAAACTACCTAGAACAAAGTTATCTGCATGCATGTGATTTAGTTGGGGTTGGTCCTGCTTTGAGCAGGGGGTAGGACTAGATGACCTCCGGAGGTCCCTTCCAACCCTGATATTCTATGATTCTATGTGGAAATCCAGGCCCCTAATCCTCCCATTGGGTGAGTTTCTGCAGACCCTTCACCCCCCGCCCCAAAGTCAGTGTGCTCTGCATAGATGCAGGTAAAGGGCCAGGGCCAGTCGGTCAGAATTACATAGACAAATGCTCTGCTCCCTGCCCTGAACTCCCAGAGAGTAAGGATTTCGGGATAGTTTCAGAAAAGACAAGAAAAATACAATCTACCTCTTTCCAATCCTCAAAGGTACAGAGCACTCTCTGCTCACGCTGAAGTGAATGGGAGATGGGGAGCTCATTACCTTGCAGATTTGGGTCTTTATATGCGCAGCCCTGCACCCCCATTTCTCAAATACTCTAATCCGGATTGTGAGGCGCTATAGACGGGGCTCATAGCGGAGTATTTATTTATTCAAGAGATTAAGTGTGGTTCTGCACTGAAAATCAATTGTAAAATGGCCTGGTTGGCATTACTGAGTCCATTTTTTTGCTTTAAACAGTTTTCATATGGAAAATGCTGTTTCAACAAAGGACATTTGTGTGTGTGAAATCCCGTCTATTTTGACAACATTTCGCGTAGGAAATAAATTGGAAAAACCATTTTTAAAATGTTGAAAGCTCCCCCTTTTCAGCACTTTTTGAATAGAAAGTTTTAATTTTTCATTTCAAATGACTTTATCCAAACAAGACATGTCAATTAACCCAAATTTTGCCAAAAAAATCAATTTTTTGGCTTTTTTATCCCAATTCCTTTGTTCAAAATCTCCAAAATTTTTCAGGGGACAGAAAATCTATTTTCCAACCAGCTTGAATTGTAAGGCTCCATATTTATGGTGATTTGATGATTTCAAGTTCAACTGTGCTCGGTTACAAACAATGAAATGTTTTTTTCCAACTGCCAGCGCTGCAAACTCAGTCTGGGATCCAAAAATTAATCTGTATTTGTTCAGCCTCATGCATCTTCACCAGAGTAAAGACTTTTGTAGGCCAAAATCAGCCTACAGTTCAGACCTGTTGCTTTCAATGAAGTTGGAACTGAGGGACGAATTTGGATCTACAATCGGAATTTTGCGCCAACACGCTCATTCAGGAGATGATCCTTTCTCATTGATGCCAATGGGAGGTTTCTCATTGACTTCAATGAGAATAGGATTCAACTCTTATAGGTGTGTTGGCTTTGCTGGGCTAACACGAAGAAAACATAGTAAAAGCTTATTTTTGCCACACAAGTAAATCAGTTGTACCCTAATCCCCAACCCTCTGTAAAGAAAGAAAACTTTTACAAATCAGAAATTAGAACAGTCAGGCAATGTTTAGCTACTGAGGCTTTCATGGTTTAATTACTCAGCGTTTTTGAGCTTGATGTAATTCTACAGTTTTGCTCAAATGATGTCTATAATATTATGCCAAAATATTATATAAGGTGTTTCATTTGTGTTAGAAAGTGTTTGATTTTATATACACTTTTTTTCCCCTCACTAGTGTCTTGTCCAGAAAATAAAATCCACGTATGTGTTTGAAAAGCGCTTTGAACACATAAAGCGCTACATAAGTGCTAAGAATTATCGCTATTATGATTATGCAGCAGGAGCATTTGTACTTTTACACATATCTCAGAAATAATCTTAACGCATGCAACTGAATGCTCCCTACATGTCTACTAGAGTGCTGATTCAGGCATCAGAGAATTTTTTGTTTGTTTAATTATTGCACTTATTAAAGTAGGTTTCACTTTTAGTCATGTTTGATTTGAATCATTAGATCACTGTATTGCTCTGCTTGGAAAATTAGAGTGATATTTACAGGGTTCACCAAACTCATGCTTCCTTAATGAAAAGAGTATACACCATTCAACATCACCGTCAGCCACATCATGCAAACAAAGGAACAAGGGGACTGGAAAACAAGATAAATGATCCTGATAAATGATTCATGCTACTTCATGAAACAACATGTAATGCATTGTTCATTTATAGTCAACAATGTATGGGCCAAATTTTCCAAATGGTAACCGCAAAGGTTGCACCTGCAAAATGTGCCTGCAAACACACCTTTGTGCTGCCAATGAGGACTGGAGTATCCAATTTGCATGCCCCAGTTACTGTAGGAACAGCCATTGCACTCCCGTTGAAAAGTTGGCTCTGTATGTATTGCCTCATACAGATATGAATTGATTCCGTGGATCTTTGTGAGGATATAGGAATACCATCGGGGTGCTGGAACAATTTGTATTGTGGGGGGGGGGGGTGCTAAGAACCATTGCACCAAACTGTAAACCCTCTATATGATGGAAACCACTTCAGCCAGGGGACATGGCAGCACCCCCCGCACCCTTATTTCCAGCACCTATGAATATCAGAGTAAGAGCAGCACAGGCACAAGAATTGACACCGAACCTGGAAAAACCTTGTATGTTCCATGAACTTACTAGTTTATAGTCTGCATAGCTTTTAGCCAGTATGCATTTTTAACCAGTCTAGTTGTACCTGAACTGTAATCGATACAGTTATCTCAAAATTTTTTCAAGGTCAGATTCGTTTAGTTACATGTTCTCTCATTGAAAAGCCGCATGAAGTTACAGCTAATTTAAGAGTGTAAAAAAACATCCTCTTACATGCCATGCAGTTCTGGTTAACGTTAGTTACAGAGAAAGAACTAAATCCCCCACAAAGGCAAAGAAATTCACAGTTAAGGCTAAAGCTTCCTAACATGTCCTGTTATATCCTGCAGAATAACACAGAGGCATATTCCCCTCCTGTTTCATTCATGTAACTTCCTGTTAATATCAGGGCCGGCTCCAGACACCAGCATTCCAAGCAGGTGCGTGGGGCGGCAATCTGCAAGGGGCGGCTGTCTGTGTGTTTTTGCCACCACAAGCAGCACACTGAATTGCCACGGCGGATGGCGGGGGCAGTCCGTGTGCCGTTAGGGCGGCACGTGCGTTTCCGCGGCGGCAGCAATTCAGCGGCAGCTTCTGTCTTCAGCTGCCCGCGGTGGCAATTCGGCGCGCTGCTTGGGGCAGAAAAAACAGTAGAGCTGGCACTGGTTAATATGAAACCGGAGTTATGTGCACATGGGTCAAAGTCCTGCCCCCTGTACAGTCTCAGTAGTTAGGCTATTCACTGGGAGGCTCGGGGGCAAGATCCTCTTTTCCGGGCAAATAGCCTCTACACTCAATGAGGGTGCCCTACCCCTCCGTGGAAGTTGCCGGTGATGGGCATAGTCACAGCTCACCTGGATCTACCCCCGGTGCATTCCTCTCCCAACCTCAACCTCTGTGCTGAAGTGCAGGGAGTTGTGCACCACAACGTGCAGGGGGCCTGGCTCCCAGAATTGCCATTCAGGCCTGCGCAGCAAAACCACATTGGTTCCACTGCAAAGGAGGAGAGGGGAGATGCGGAGACTATAACAACTGGCAAGTTTGCTACTCTCAACCACATTCCTGTAACATGTGCAACAGCTAGGCACATTGGAGAGGGACCCAGGAAAATTAATTGCTGTGTATCGGCTTTAACCAGAGATTAAAGTCAGACACTTAAATCTGTAAAGCGTGGCACTTAAGATGTACCCACAAAACACATGCTGCATATGTAGCCCCCACACCTCTGTGGACACATAAGGGTGTAAATCCCTAAGTCTGGCCTCCCTTTCTCCAAGTGCAACTTGTATCCACAAAATGAATTGTGGTTGCCCCATGTATCTCCAGCTACCTGATTTGTACCTGCAGTAGAATAGCAGATGCAAAAATGCAGCCACAAAAAGGAAGTATGTAACTGAGCAAAGTGAGTGGGACGCTTAGGCACCAGGCTTTGAAAATAATTGTCCACAATTGTTGTTGAAGTGGAATCTCCCCCTCCCGCATCCACACACTTTGTGAATTTCCCGAAGGAGGGGGCATAAGGGGAAAAAAGAAAAGAAAGAAAATTGTCCTAAAAGCCTATGAGAATTGACACAACAGCCGCAATGACGTCTTTGGCTTTGTTATGGCCTTTTGTGGAATTACGTATTTCAATTTGCTGTGAAGAGGCATGTTCAACCTGGGATGAAAATTTGTAACTTCCGCTGCTATAAATGATTCAGTTTGCACAGGGGAACTGTTTTGGGTTTTGGTTTTTTTAGTTACCTGATGAAAAGCAATGGTTCTGATAGCCTAATTGGTAAGGATGCATACTAATTATGAAAATTGATCGGTTTTACCTGACTGATTGTAAAAGCTTTTTGTGCAAATTTGTATTTGCTATAGGCACTTTTTAGAAAGTGGGATTATGACACAGGAGGCCATAAAAGCGCATTACTGAACTCCTCCATTGGAGTCATTATGGTCCATTGTGTCAGTCTAGGTCAGCAACCACGCATGTTCTAAAACCTCTATGGGCACTTTGGTTGAAAAAAGCACCTGCACAAGCAGTATTTGCCCTGATGCGTAGCTGGTGTAAATTGGTGTGGCTCTATTAAAGTCAATGGACCTATCCCAATTTCGGACAGCCGTGGATCAGGCCCAAGCAGATTTTAAAGTCTCGCTAGTGTAGGAGATGCATCTTTTTAAAATCCTGTAGCAAGCTGAGTAAAGTTCACCCATGGTGGACAGTGCCGGTGTAAGCACCCTTCATAATGTCCCGCACTGGCAATGCATGAATGTGATGCTGTAAGCTAAGCAATCGCACACACTGCATGTGGGCTCTCCATGTGTTGCTCACCAGCGGGCTCTGGTAAGGGGTCGTAGGAGCGAATGACCCCCATTCACTGTACAACTGGCTGTGCAGGGGCTGCAGTCCTGCACCTTCAGCCTGATCCAAAGTCCACCGAAGTCAAGGTTAAGACTCTCATTGAGTTCAATAGCATTTGTATCAGGCACCCAGTCTCCAGATGGGGTTGGATTTCATCTCCCCAGCTTTCCCACACTTCTTCCTCCCACAGCCCTATTCCCCGGGCTCGATGGGCATGAAGTGAATGTCACCCTTAGTGAATACACAGCCTGATCTACCCCTCCCGCCCCCACTGGCAAGTTTAGAGTTACAAACATCCTTTAAAAAAAGGGGGGGATTAATGCAACCATTTAATGTCAGGCTTTGGACACTACTTGCTACAACCTCCCAATGAGTTGAGCCTAGATTTCCCTCTCCCTCACTGAGACCTTTCATGTGATGTCTCAGCCAGGGAGCTGCCATCAACCCTGGAAAAAATGGAGTTTCTAACAAAGACATTGAGGTTGTGTCGACACTACAATTAGACACCCAAGGCTGAGCCGGGCCAGGTGACTCTGACACGATGGGGCTCGGGCTAAGGGGCTGTTTAATTGCAGTGTAGATGTCTGGGCTCTGACTGGAGCCTGGGCTTTAGGACCCTGTGAGGTGGGAGGTCTCAGAGCACGGACTGCAGCCCAAACCTAAAGCTCTGCACTGCAATTAAACAGCCCCTTAGCCTGCACCCTGTGAGCCCGAGTCAGCTGGCATGGGCCAGCCTCAGGTGTCTAATTGCAGTGTACACATACCCTGACAGACTCAGACGCTGTAGCTAAGTGTTGCTACAAAAATCAACAGAAGTTTATTCTAACCGTTTGGTGTCAAGTATGTTGTTAAAAGGAGGCTTTCAGGTAACAGTTTCTGCCTTCCCACATGCAAAAAGAAATACAGGATGTGTGTGAGAGATGTTTTGTTTTGCTATTTTGTACATAATCATTCATTATTATTGTTTCTTATGTATAATGTTAAGAGGAGGAGGGCAGTTGAGATAAAATCCATTGCATGCAGAACACCCCCAGTGATAATTTCCAACATTTCAGACCATCGCCTACTGTCCCTTTAAATTCAGCTGACTCCTCCACTTCCTTTATGGGAAACATAAATCTACCACTAGATATACATTATAACACAATGGAACAATACCAGGAAGTGATTCTAATAGAAGACTGAGCATGTCTTCGGCCTCATGTTAATCTACCGTTTAAACTCAGCAGAGAGGACAGTGAGGAAAGAAACGCTCAGTTCACCCAGCCTGAGATCAAAACTGTCATGGCAATATTGGCAGGTTGGACCCTGATTCTTTAAATAGTAACATTGCCTTTGTTAAACAAAAGTAATCCTTTTATTACATAATAGAGATTATAAATAAATGTAAAGTGTGCATGCAGTCAACTGCATATTATACAAGCAATATCTATGTTAATAATTGTTTTCTTTGGCAGGCCAGAATCCAGCTGGACATGCAGTATTTACATATCAAAATCCTTGTTGTGTTCAAGTCATATTGGATGCAAGTGAAAATATATATGTATATATATTTACTGTACACACTCACATATATATACGTATACAGGCATATATACACAATTGCATATATACTGTATACATATATACACATAGGTATATGTTAAAAGTGGATTTCATCTTTTTCTGATTCAGGTGATGCAGGCCTTGAAACACTAAAAATATCTTGACAAGGTATTTGGGGGGGCAACTGGGGTGATAAATGGGACTTGGGGGAAGAGGTCTGGGACACGTTCTTTTCAGACAATATTTTTAAAATCTCTGCCACCTGTTTCTCAAGGGCAGTCATCCTGCTGCTTAGCAACTGGATATCCTCTTTGAGTTCGTGTTTGACTTCCTGTAGTGTGGTTTGTAAGGCCTGCTCAGGAATGGGGTAAAAGGGGTGTTTTGCATCAGCTTGGATAGGGCTGTGTTCTAGGGGGCTGCGAGTCTCACCAGCTTTATCCAAACGAAGGTCACTTTTTGTTATTCCACTGTCACAAGAGTCTGTTTTCCTCAATGGATTTTTAGTTACACTGTTCTCGGAGTCATTGCACTTGGGGTCGTCGGACAATAGCCCCATTGACTCCGCCTTTGTGACATTATTCCAGTCTTCCTTTTTCTCCTCTGGGGCTCCCATATTGTTCTTAAGTCGAAGCCACCCTTTCCCATTCCCATTTTTCATCCTGATGGGACTGTTAACTTTGAGACATTTTTCAGGGTTGCCATTTGGCTTAAGCTCCATTGCGTCCCTGTTGTTCTGCTTGATTGTCTCACTGGTTTTCACGTAAGCCAGGGATGTTTGAATGGGTGTGATCTGAGACACAGTGACCACACTTGTGCCAGTGATGGAGGCCCCGTTCTGCATGGTACGGCTCTCCACTTGAAGCTGGTTCCTCTCTGGGTCGATGTGTGTTGTGCCTTGATTCCGCATCTCCTTCTGCTGCTTGAACTTCTGAAAGAGCTTTCTCACAGGGTGGTCCACAGGGATGCTCAGGGTCACTTCATTCTTCTGGCGCAGACGCTCCTCTTCTTCCTTCTTGACATCGCTGATTTTTCGGAAAATAATCTGTGAGGGATAAACCCAAAACACGGTGAGAAGACAATGATTTTGAACACCAAACTATGGCTAATGCTATTAGAAGATGTAGAAACAGCATGGTCCTGATCAGAAAAGTCCATGCCCTGAAGAGCGTCCAGTCTAATTTAAGACAAGTGGGTGTAACAAAATAAACAAACAAACCGATAAGGGAAGAAGCATAGGATAATGAGGGTAACAGAGACAGGAACATAGGGTCACACAGATTGCAATGTCCTCAGTTTGGATGTGTCAAGTAATTCAAAAGTGAGGGTTTTTCTTAAGACTAATGTAATGCAGTTTATTACAATATCATACCTCGTGCTTAATTTGTAATGATAGAGGTGCCCGGGCTCAAGCAATTTTTTTTACTTTCATAACGGAGGTGGCAAACCCAGAGGTGCCGGAGCTCAGCCATGAACATTATCAGACCACAAGCTTCTCTGGCAGAATGAGCCCAAGCTCAAGCTCAGGAATTGGTTTGGAACTAAACCATACAATGATCTGATGAACTGGTCTTTGTTTGGTGTCTTAGGAGAAAACAGGATTTCTGTAAACAGAGCTAAACAGAAGATGCATAAGAACTAGAATGTGGATAGACTGGTAGTGGGGAATCGCAGGAGAAAGTGGGAGGCAAATGAAGGTGGCCTAAGCTAAGAAAGAATACACGATGTCATCAGAGAGGTCAGAAGAATTGTTGTGAATCAGTAGCAAGAAAACAGGACACTCAAGGAACAGACCTAGTCAGAGAAAGAGTCAGAGACACAAAATGGGGCACATCTAAAGCAGATTTAGCCACAGAGTGGCAGAACGGGAGTGAAGGATGGGATGGAGGAAATTTATTGCATTTGCTTATGGAAGGTGATTGAAAGGCTTGTGCCCCCAAAGGCGCTGAACCGAACAAGCCAGGGTAATGTTACAAACCAGCCTGCTAAACAAAACACTCCACAGGGTGACATTGATCAGAGCCCAAAGCTTTTTGTTAAAATGCCTCAGTCCCATTTTGCTAGTTTGGGTTTCTTTCGTTTTTGGAATGAGTGATTGCAAGGCAGGACAGGAAAACTCCCTTGTCCCATAGTCTGTGATGTGAATGATTAGTGGGGCCCACGCTTCGATCAAATGGTTCCACACGTCCACTTTAAAACAGATTTTGGGTGCACAATTGATTCCACTTTTTTCACAAAGTAAAACTCAGTCTTTTATGGTTATGATTATTTGTATTGAGTATCATGGACCAGGACCCTAGTGTACTGGGTGCTGTACAAACACAGAACTAGAAGACAGTCCATGCTCCCAAAGAGCTTGCAATCTAAGCATAAGACGAGACAGATGGATACAGACCGACAGACGGGAATACAAGAAAACAGTGAGACAAGATGGCTTGATAGGGAGCCACCGCCAGCGGCCGTAATAATAAATCATAGTAATACGTGGCCGTAATTAAATATTTTAAAATATATACTTCCAAGATCTGCCTGTATATGCAAACACATATTTCTTTTCAAGCCTCACGTAAAATGAACCCATCTTAAGATGTAAGGCCAACTGCATTGGCTTGAATGGAGTTATAGTAGGGAGGAATTTAGCTCACTGAGATAATCTGAAAGCAACGTGGACATCAAAGCTCCCACGGCTTCCTCACAGAAACCTTTCAAATACAGTAAATATATTCTTGTGGGCCGCTAGAAGATGCAGCTGCTTATAATAATGTAGAAAATTAACATGTTTATTATAAGCCCGGTTTAAAAGGCATGGACTCATGGAAGACGCTTTCATTTGACCTAGATGCAATACATTCATATCTTCATTTAGAAGCTGTCCTTGATTAGCCCCTGCCCTCTTGCAGTAGTCACACCTCTATCATGCAAGCCACAGGGGAGAGAAAATACATTTAATAGAAGCTGCCTTTGATTAAAGAGGCAATTAATTACATTTAATTGAAGCCCCAGTCTCTAAATGAAGATACAGAGGGTTTGTTATTTTTTCCAAGGGAGATCTACTTAGGCAGAGCACATGCACATTTTTCTGACCACAGACACTGAACGTGGACAGCTGGTGTACCAAGGCCAGTGGCTGACTGGTAAGGTACTTAAATGGATGGCTCAGAAAGAGGTCAAAGGTTTCCTTCCCCATCCCTGCTAGACTGTAACAGTTATGCCGCTGCTTTGTGTATGGGCAAGTGCCAGGAGGACGCCTGTGGAGACGATGTCTTGTGCAGACACAGCCCCTCTCTGGGCTTGTAGGAGGGTTTTAGAATAAAAAGGGTTAAGGTTAGTTTAGCTTGGGTAAGAAAATATATCTGCTTATTCACTTGTGTACAAATGTAGGCAGCTAAGCAAGTGTAATAAGTCCTTGCCAAAAACACAGGTTCAAATTTTTTTTAAAATGTACCAGCTAGCAAGACAGGTCTGGAGAGGATGCTAAGCTTAAAATATGGCTGATAAAAAAAAAGAAGGGCTTCTAATTATCAAAACTGGTTTTAATAGAGAAAGGAAAGTTGTGTTGTGGTGTAATAAACTTATAGGAACCTTAACTGGCCAGTCTTATTTTCAAATGTGGGCCTATGTGAGATGATAAAATACCAGGTGTAGCCATCCATACATTTAAAATAATCTAAAAAGAAGAGTACTAACAGCCATATCTTGTTTTAGCCAAGGCCAAGAAAAGCGGCAACTCTGAACCATCCAAAACCTGACTTTCACCTAAGATAATAATGATCAATATAACATCACTTGTTTATTATACTGTATAAGAGAGTCAGGCTTGCTAAAGATAGTTATTACATCCTACCTGATCATACTGGAGCCAGCCAGGATAAGGTGGGCTAGCCCTGCTGTGTGGTTTGTGCAAGGGCAAGATGAAATCACAACCCCATTTTTCCATCCTGCCCCTCTCTGATCCTTTTTAGCATCTTGCTCTGCAGTAGTGAGCAATCCCCAAGTTCGCAAGGACTCCTACTGCAGGAGCCCTGGCTCAGCTACACAAGGAAGGGCTCTCCCATCCCTGCCAAAGGAAAGAGTTTTTTGGGCTCACTCTACGTGCAGTGCATTACAGGGTGCCGCTTCTACTGGGTATTACTGCACAGGGACAACATGGAGTCATAGGAACGAACTGTTAGAACTTCCCCCACGCAGCCTGCAAAGGTCGATTAGTGACAGGAATGAATCAGAGGAAAGTGACGTCTCTCTCTTCATCACCCATTACTAACAGAACACAAACAATATTGACCATGGTCCTGTTTTTAACTGAGATTGATTTCTCTTCCTCCCCCCAGGACCAAACACTCACAATTCACCCAACAACAAACACACCCTGTTCTCATTCTACTCGGATTTTTTAATTCTCCTTTTCATCTCCCATCCTAAGTACAAAAGGGTCCTGGCCAGTGGTTAACTTTAAACACAGAACAGAATTCAACATGACCAACTACCTGCTGATTTAACAGAGTCCGTACCTTACCCTCCCCGAGTGGACCCTTCGAAGCTCCAGAAAATTAATGCTCTTCTCTACTTAATATACAGAAGGCATCTTGCAAGAATAGCTTATCCACATGGATATTAGATACAGGCAACACTAAGACACATAAGTTCGGGTTCTGTCTTTCTAGGTGACCTTCACCACAGTCTCTGAACCCCTGGTTACTACAATGTTTGGTGAGCCAAAGTCATTTGTGCTTCAGAGATGAGCTGTTTCAGCCTGGTAAGGTATGACATGTGACATATGAGTGACAAAGCAATTCACAGTCCACAGACCCACCTTCACCCAGTCCCTTTCAGGGATCTAGAACACACACCAGCATCAGCTGGGAACAAGGCTTCACTCATCAAGATTCTGGCCAGCTCTGGGGGAGAACACTCTCTATGATCAGTGTAAGTGAGACAGAACTAGGATACAGTAGCATACTCCTGACATATGCAATGTGTGTGTGTAGATGTCATGGACCCCCAGAGCAGAATAGCTTATCCCGGCTATGATTAGACTGTGTGCGAGCATGCAACATGCATTTAGTAAAGAATAACATTCCTGACTCGTGCAGACTGTGTGTTATATGTATCTAGAAGAGAAGAGCACGTTTCTGGCAAGCCTGGTGTTTGTGTGATGTGTGTCTAAAATACTGCAGCATGGTTCTGATGTATGCAGTGCATGTGAATGCAAGGAATATGCATCTAGAACCAAATAGCATGTTTCAGCTCTCTTTTGTTTGTACCTATTTATACCTTGGGAATGTAAGTTCTTTGAAGCAGGGACCGTTCAGCACAGTTCATCTCTCGGCCCAGACCATGTACATTTTGGGAACTATATATTGTTATTTCTAGGCAATGTGTTTAATAGGGATAGGCCTTGAATACAGAACTGCAGGTCATATCCTCAGCAGATGTAAACTGGCATAGCTACATAGACTTCAATGGAGTTATGATGGTTTATATCACCTGAGGACCTGGCTTAGCACATTTCTGACACACGCAGTGTAGGTGGGAGGAAAGACCGATATCATCACAGTTATCGCATGTGCAGGGTGCATAGTGTAGGTGTCAAGCTAATTTGCACCTTCTTGACGTAGTGATCCCCCCAAATATTTAGGCTCTTTCATTCTAGTCATAGCAAGATGAGCATTGGCATGAATTTTTTCTTATTTCTCCATTTCAGGGTGGCATTGTCTATCCAAGCTACGGTGGCTACTGTCTCTGGGATCACTGTTATCCTTCATTGCAAGGATGTGGTACATGACCGGTAATTAAAATTAATATAAATCAAAGCCTGTCTGCAATTTTGCAAAGGATATACAAGAATCACCTAAAGGGGTCACTACATTGTCGGTCAGGCAGCATGTCAAAGAAGGTGTATGCGTGTCCGTGTGATTGTGGTGGGGGGTATGTGAGAGTGAGAAAGAGAGAGAAAGAAAAGGTTATAGCTATGAAAAAATGTCCCGTGTTCTCCTCCCCCCACACTTGAAATCAGCTGTGAGGAAATGCTCCAGTAATGCCATCCTT